ACTATAGAATAGGCCCTGACTACTGGTTATAGAATTTGGGTATATACATACTCATCTTCCAGGATACTTGTAGTAAAAAAACACCCTTTTCACTATAGAATCCAAGGGGGTATAACCCCCTGATTCTGGATCTCACTTCATTCAATAGATTACTGTACCCGAGTTCCTTGAATCATGTCTATCATTGTCTATCCATGTCTAAAGTGCAAATACCAAGTTTGCTGAACCAAACGGAAGAAGTACCATTCCCTACCATTCCCACAGTAAAGACATGTAAAGACCAACGGCATTGACTCACATCTAGCCATTCCATTGCAAAAGGCGTCTGGGGCATGTTGAAAAAACATAATTATTGTCATAGCCCCAGCCTGGAAACGTTCTCTTGTGAATGAGCTCTTGCCATGTCAGAGCTCCAAGCTGGACCAACAAGTGCTGCACGCATTTGTTTTTCCTTTGGGCACCACTGCTGTGATGCCTTGTACCGTTGCCATCTAGCCCTCATCTCTTCTGGCTTCACATAATGGTCCAGAAGGATCTTGTCGGAACACTCTTCTGCTAAGCGAATGTCCATGTAGATGCTTGTATAATTGATGGGAAACAACCAGAAACCCACGGAGACATCTTCTGATGGCAGGGTCCTTACTTTAGCATAGGCCCATTTTCGACAACATGGCAATGTCTCCGAAAGCTCTGCTATGTATCTGGCCAAATCAGGGCTCAGCACATAGCCGGGACCCTTGGCATGTCTTGGGTAAACCGACATGCCCGTTCTATTGGTATAGATTTGATCCTCCCACTTATGGCCCTTCTTAGTGATGGGCTTGGCGCCGGTTCCACTGAAATCGCCTGCGTAGATGGAAGTGCCCGAGTCGCTCTGCACATCCCAAAACATATGGTTCGCTTCGAAGAATGGCAGCAACCGATCCAAAAAGAAGAAGGAGTCGGTGTCGGACTTCATCAGCAAGGCGAATTGATAGCGCTCCACCACTAAGCGGATGCTCAACTGAGTCTTTCGGGCACGATCCGAGTAATACTTTTGAGCATAGCCTGGCAGGATTTCGACGTCTCCAAACTTCTTCATCTCCGCTTCTGTCTTGCTGAGGTCACCTTCCTCACCCACCACATAGACCACTTTGGTGGTCCTATTGGACTTACAAACCTCGGACGTGCTCTTCATCTGGAATGACACATCTTCCACATCGCCTATCCATCCGTCTTACGGGTCTTAAACACTGCATGGGTCTCAACAACTCTTAGAGATTGAGGTGCAAAAGGGCTTCAATTGGTGTCCAATGATCGAAAAAAGGAACCGCTTCGATTCAGACCCAAGAGGCTTCACACCAACCGCTTCGATTCAGCACCATGCGCCACGACTCACGCTGGGCACTTCTGCGATCGATGTCTGTCTCAGCATGCGAAGGGATCACAATCACTAAGTCGAAGTACCTCAGCGATGGTGAGGGGACCTGAAAAAAAAACCGTGAAGACCTGATGGTCAGGACCCAGACGCAAGACACTAGTGAAGACCTGATGGTCAGGACCCAGAAGCACCTGACAAAGCACCGGCCCCTGCTAGTAGAGTAATGAGTCATTATGAGTCTTTTGCGTGGACGATGCTCCGCAGGGACCAAAAGCGTCTTATTATGATTAGGGCTCAAATCACCGTGATTGGATATGATTGGCCTTATTTGGGACATAGTCGTTGTTTGGAATCTGAGTCATAATTCTTCATCATAAAGGCATGGGAAATCATCGACATCTCCTTACACCTTTGATCCCACCAACGTAATATGGACGAGTTGTCGGCAACATGGCCCGGCAGAACGTTTCCCACCAAACAATGTCGAGGCAGGGTGTGCATCCTACGATGATGTTGATTCTGATGATGATTCTGATATGAAACCATGAATTCAATGGATCTACTGATCTACCCAATATGAAACGGACTGCTGCTTCAAAAGGACATCACATCATGCCATCCTGATTTCTTTTGGTGCTCGCAGATCCGGAAGAAGATAGAATCTTGTTAGAGAGACGATTGAATAGATATATAATCATTTTTTAAACACATACAGTAAGCGGATGTAAGCGGTAAGGACTTCCATTCCAAACTAGACACTGTTGCGAAACCTCGCAACTGACCACCAACCGTTCTACACCTATTTCAGCCCATCGAACCTACTCCAACACCGTGAACGCACGGTCCACTGAGCCAATCAGAATGGAAGCTGCGTGAGGTTCTGCGTGTTGTTCCACACCGCAGCCGTCCTCTTCTCACGGATGTCCGGGAGCGAAGAGGGTTCGGTGGGCCGGCGCGAGGGACGCAAGAGGCAGTCCATGAAGGAGGACTCCACCAGAAGTGTCGAAATCCAAAGCACGTTCACGATCGCGGCGAAGAAGACCTTGCTTAATGAAGCCTGGAGGCTTCCCATAACAACGCGTCCGAAGCCATAGTCGGTCATTTTTGGTTCGATTGAACATCAATAGGACTTTGGACTGTCCTGCCTCCATCTGCCTGGGAAAAGGGACCCCTCAAGAAGACGATTTTCCTCTACAAACAAGGGGGTGCCACCTACTTTCATGTTTGTGCGAGGGAGGATCACTACCAACTGAGCTGTGTCGAAAAACCAATTCAATAGGTCCTATTGGAACTGCATGACAAACACTCTTCATTGAGGTTTGCATGACAAACACTCTTCATTGAGGTTTGAATTCCGTGTCTCAACTCTTTCTGAATGTACGTTTTGAAAACGACTTCCCGAAGACAGTCTCCCCGAAAAAAGGAAAACACACATAAAACATCTCGGCTGAAACCATATGACTGGATGAGTGCCAAACCGTTGGAACTGGATCTGGGTGGTTCAGCATGGTTCAGCTCGAGGGGCCCAAAGCTGATTGAGGGGCCCCATCTGAAGACTGGACAGGTTGCCGCAGTGCTACCCGTGGGACCGTCCATGGGAGACATGTGTATATAGTAATATATATTTATATAATATATATATATATATGATGTAGTTGCCTGAAAACTCCGAAGAACGTTTCATGTCAATTCAACTAAAGACGGGGGCCGGAAGACACTCAGAAAGCACACCCTTGCTGCGCTGGAAGATTTCAATGAGCATTTGGATGCGGACGTGGCAGCTTCATTCCGCGATGCGGAAGGCGCTGGGACCGGCGCCTGGACCAACGACCCGGAGGCTCGGGGGTTTGGAACCGGCTCCGACCCGGAGGTGAAGCCATACCGCTGCCGCCGAGAGAAGTTGATGCCATGAAATCCAGGGTCCAGGTTGGGTTGTATCGCAGTCAAACGGGACATGAAATGGAATGACATGAATGCAGCATCAAAGTAGCACTTGAAGGAGCAACAAATCAAACAAGGACATCCAAAGACTTGAATCCCAATGAATGCCCTTCAATCATGTAACACGTGCCATAGTAATATATAGCAATAAACTATACTTGAGGCCAAGGGGGGGGGCGAAAGCTAGCGCTCCAGAATGGGAAAGTGGAGGGCAGCGAGGTAGGAAAAAACACGGCGCTCTTTTTGGAGGCAGGGGTGAAGAGTCCTTTATATGTGGCTCTTTGCCCGGATCCTCCTGCGAGAGGAGAGAGAGAAGAGAGACGGAAAGACGAGAGACAGAGAGGAGAGAGAGAGAGAGAGAGAGAGAGAGGAGAGAGAGATGAGAGAGATGAGAAAGAGATGAGAGAGATGAGAGAGATGAGAAAGAGATGAGAGAGAGAGAGAGAGAGACAGTGAGACAGTGAGACAGTGAGAGTGAGCGAGTGCGGCCGCAAGATACGCAGATACGCAACGCTAACCGCATGCCAAAGAGCGACGACAGGACGGAGTCGAACTTGCGAAGAGGGAGGAGGGAGGGAGGGAGGGAGGGAAGGTGGGAGGAAGACAAGGAGGAGGAGAGGGGAGGTGGGGTGGGGAGAGGGGAGAGGGGAGAGGGGAGGAGGGGAGAGGGGCGGAGGGGAGGGGAGGGGGGGGTCTTCGACCTGAAAAATCAGGGGTTAGGATTTGCACCCGGTCGAAAGAAACCTTGCTATCGCAAGAGTAACTCCAGCTAGCTTCGCTAGCTTTCGTGAAAACAATAAAATCGTGATATGTATGTATCTCCAGCACATATCCCAGCATCCTCGTATGCCATGAGGTCTCTCTCTCTCTCTCTCTGTGTTTCCAAGGATCTGCAGGACATGTTGGAAACTGTACTGGCCGGGGACATTGGCTCCACACGTCTTTTTGAATGACTTGTTTGGTCCAATCCATTGTGCTACAAGCCAAGGGCAGCAAAGACCGGAATGATCTGCACGTGCGGGTTCTGAAATGGCATCAACAGGACAAACAACATCAAACGGCTAAGGGTATTAGATACCATTCTTCTCCAAGTCCCTTAGCCCAGAGCCTTCAAACCAAGAACGGCCTAGTACTATAGTACTCACAACTGGTCACAGCTCCATCCTCGCCTCCCCACCCTCCAGGAACATCCACAGCTGCTTGGCGCCCGGGGCGTTCAGCCGCGTGTTCCGGTCCCATCGGGCCGGTCGGTCACTCGTGGAGTGCTCGACTCGCTGGAGTCGGGAGGGTCGGTGAGTGGTGAGGGTCCGGCCTTGGGGTTGAACGGTGAACCTCCGTTGGCCTTGGAACACCGAACACCAGGGCATTGAGTGAGGCCGATTCTTGAGAGACACCATCGAACTGATGGCTCGGAAGATGTTGACATGCTTGTGCTGTTGGACCACTAAACCTCTGGCGATATTGAGCCAAAAATGCGGCGATGAAACGTCCAAGTCTGCCCAGGTGAAGAGGTACCAAACACTGGCAAAAGCTCAAGGCCACGACTTCATTCTTCAATGCCACGGAATTCAAGCATGAAAAATCAATTCCTTTCCAATTGATTCCAATTGCCACTTCTCTACTCCATTTGTTTGGCTCCAACCGTCCGCATTCCCCGGTCGACTCCTCCGCTTTCCCCGGTCGTTGTTCGGGTCGTCGCCTGGGCGCGCCATCGCCCAGCAGGGCTCTGCGCACACGGCTCTTTAAGCCATCGGCGCCCACGGCGAAGTCACAGCGCACCTGGCGAGTCCAAAGGGACTTCAGTGGGAGCGGGGAGGATTTTTAGGGGCCGGGGGGGGGGCTCTGTTTTTTTGCTCTTATGCCGTCGGACAGGGTCGTCGGCGACCAATGAGCGTTCCGCGTCACTGGTCAGCTTTCCATCTACACACGGCGGATTCACAACAGCGAATCGAAAGGGATGGACCAAGACAGCGGCGTTGCTTTGGCGCCCTTATCGAAGGCCCGAACAAGTAACTCCAACGTAGCATTATCAAGGAAGGCTTCGGCGCCATGAAAAGCGCCCTTAGGATAGGTTCGACCGTTGCACTTATTGCCTTTGTCAAGTAGGAGCGGTGCAACCACGATCTTCTTGTTCTTACAGTAGGAAGATGCAGCTCGGATAATGGCAGCATATGCCTGCAGAGTGCAAACTGTTCCCACAGGTAACACGAAACGCCACCCTTGAGTGAACGCAAAGGCAGAGAGCTCGAAGACAGAGCATGCAAGGCCTTCACTGGCTCGCCAACGGAGTGTATTCGTAAACTCCAAGAAAACATGGAAGTTGGCCCGTGAAAGCTGAGGTTTGTCACAGAACGAAAGATCAGTGTCATTGTTGACATGCCATGTATATAGATGCAACTGGGCATCCCATGGCCATCGTGGGCACTTTTGACGCGGCGTTAGATGAGCCACTGGAGCACTTGCAGCTGGTGGAGCACTGGCATTGCATTGGTCTGGCTTTTTACATACCTTGTTGAGTTTGGTAAGCCAAAGCTGCCGAGCAAACACATCATTCTCTTTCATGGTGAGGTCATGTTTGTAGGCACGAGCAGTTTCTTCCAGTTGCCGCTTCGCCAGCAAATCGGCCCTCCGATTGAGAATAATGTCCTGTTTGTTGGACCCAGCCGCATGTGCCATAGCGTCTGTGAGCTCGGATACTGGTACATCTTCTAAAAGATGTGCAGGGCACCAAACAACCTGTAACGGTTGCTCACTGAGGTACTGACGTTGCCCCAGCAGTGTACACAAGAATCCCCACCAGTTTGTATGTGTCCATTCAACCCGAACATGGCCAAGGCGTTGCATCTCCTGGAACTGGTTGACAATGGTGAGGGAACCAGTATGGACAACCAATGGCTGATCAGCAATAGCAAAGGCAACCAGCAGGCCCCATAATTCTGCCGTATAGCTTGAGAGTCGCCAGTGGTAAACCCGACCCGCAGCAAGTAGCGATTCATCAGCAGCTACGACTGCAAACGAAGCCATTGTATGCCAGGGGTGGTTGGAGATTTGAACCGAGCCATCTGTCCAAACATGTTGAGCTGCTTGGACCGGAGAAATCCAGTCAGCCACCGCAAGTTCTGAGGTGTTGGACACCTGTAGTCGGTTTCGTGCACTGTCCAGGGGAAGCTCGGCAATACCAAAGGTGCTGAAATTTGGCCCCAGAAAGAAGTTGGTGGACGGCTTGTTAGAACAAGGGGGGGGCTCTGTTTGAAAAGCTTAGTCTGGGCATGGAAGAGAATGGAAACCAGGCTGGGGAGTGCTTGGGGAGAGTTTGGATGGAAAAAGGCAAGGAGGAATGATGGGGTACGCCACCTACGAAGCGAAACTGAACAACACAAAAAGGCAGTCAATAAATGTCTGAACAACATGTCTACAGTCCACAGGTGGAACCCCAGGGGACCACCTCGAATTCTAGGAGCAGCTCCACACCATCCGAAGATCTGACATCTGGGCAGCAGAAAATCGTGAGGAAAGTACTTTCGATTCACCTGTTAATGTAGGCTCTTGCTTAATAAGCCACCCCATTTGAGTTGAAACACCTCTTCATATGTAGGGTTTATTCATCAAGAGTCTACATTAGGATGGAGGGGCTGGCTCTTTCCACAACACTAATCATGAGAAGAATGAGAAGAACAGGACTGAAACCCTCGGATCATCTGGGATTGGTGCCCTTACCGCTAACCATCAAGGGAGATCGATGGTAACCAGGCAGCCACCGGAAACAAAAGGACCCAACTCCAGGCTCCTATAGGCTCCTGCCCCACAGGGTAAGACTAGTGAAAGCGGTCCCCGGCAATGGGGAAACACGAAGGCCGTCGTGGCCA